TAGCAAAAGGGGTATTGCTTCGTGAGGATGGGACCATTCTTATCATTTCACCAAGTCAAATTGTGTCGGTTTGCCAAGTTTCATGGTTGTATATTAACACGAAATAGTTTTACATACTAACGTATTCTGTACTGGCACAAGATACCCCAGCGCTAAAAATAGCACAAGAGTTTTTTCCCAAAATGATTCTATATTCTATCTTGTTACGATACGAATACTTCTATATTTACACCAGTTTTCATGCCTTCTTTATCAGCAATTTTTCACGAGTTTTTTAGCCTGGGGTACTTGTGCCCAGTACTCAGAATACGTTAGTATGGTCAATCTATTTCTGTTAACTATACAACCATGAAACTCGGCAAACCGACACAATTTGACTTGCTGAAAATGATAAGAATGGTCCCCATCCTCAGAAATACCCCTTGTGCTACTTTTAGACTGGGGTACTTGTGCCCAGTACTCAAAATACGTTAGTATGGTCAATCTATTTCTGTTAACTATACAGCCATGAAACTTGGCAAACCGACACAATTTGACTTGCTGAAAATGATAAGAATGGTCCCCACCCTTAGAAATACCCCTTGTGCTATTTTTAGACTGGGGTACTTGTGCCCAGTACTCAGAATACATTAGTATGGTAAATCTATTTCTGTTAACTAAACAGCCATGAAACTTGGCAAACCCACATAATTTACTTGCAGAAAATGATTGAGTCGTCCCCACTTCAGAAATACCTCTTTCGCTAGTTTTAGAATGGGGGTCCTGTGCCCAGCACTCAGAGGACATAACTATGGTTAATCCATTTCTGTAAGCTGTAGAGCCATGAAACTTGCCAAACCTACACAATTCGGTTTGCTGAAAAAGACAAAAGTAGTCCCCCACCTCAGAAATACCCCTTTAAACATGATTTCTCATGCTTTGTCTATAGAACATGATATCAAAGCATTTTCTGGTATAACTCCAGGCACAAAAAACAATTCATACCAGGATGTACATAAAGGAGAAGGATTTAAAGCACAACCATTAAATGATGTATATGTTTCCAAGTTTATTAAAAGACCTTACCTTAACAAAAGATATGTCAGGGTTTCTATCTCATAACTGTTCTATGAAAAATGTTGAGTTGAAGCAAATTTCAGAAAAATATAACCATTGGGCACCAAAAAACTTCATTCTCAAAATTTGAAAACAATGTATCTAAACAAGAGGCAGTGACAGAATACATTAAAATAACATTGTACTGTGAAGGTAAAACATTGTCTTCTGATTATGTATAAAAAATGTTACCAAGCAGGTGGTACAGGACCATTATTGTAAGAGAAAAACTTTATCAAATCCAAACTATTCTACACATTTTGATGTGAGCAAAATATCTTGAAAAATATATATACCTTAGGAATCTTGAAAATATCAAGCCTTGCTCAATCCCCAACCCCTCCCCCCCCCCTTGATGTGACTAATCTAGTGATTTGGCCTAGGGCTGACAAGATTTGGCCATTGCCCCACTAGTTTTAACAAATTTCTAACTTATAACATGACCCCACTAGTTCTAAATTTCTCTTCTTGCTATTATGAACTGAAAGTCTGGTCCCTTTGAATAACCCCTGTATATAACCCTGTACTCCACTGTATATGTAGTAGGTAGCTGAGTTTTGCATTTTCATTGTCTCTCTGCAGAATTTTGAAACCCTTGTCTTCTTTGACTAAAGTTCTTTTCTTTACATTTTGTGATAAATTCATACTTAAAGTTGTCCAGTTTTTCCAGCACAAATACCCAAAAACCAGCAAACCATCCATTGATCGGCCACTGTTTGTAGATACCTAGCAAAATGGATATAATTTTAGGTATTAATCTATTTTAGGCATATTTATGCAATTCTATTAAATATTTGACATTTTCGAATTATCAGTCCAAAAATCTTAATTGCAGTAAGATTTAATAATACTTGTCAATGTACAAAAAACAAGCCAGTTTTTAAACCAAAGTGGATTAGGTCGACCTGTTCCGTGCTACACATCAAACTATGTATAAACGTTTTATATCAAAGCAAATATTTATTAAATTGTAACATGTAATAATCCTTATTATTTCAGATTTTAGAAATGGAAAGATTATAATATGTAGCAGCCTACATTCTCAGTTGTATCTTACTTTTTATAAGGAAATAAGGAAATTGTGTTTGAGTTGTTCTTGCCTTCATTGTCAGAAAAGAAACAAAGATCGACGTACCATTGATTTACTTCCTCATTTCTACCGACAAAACGAGCACGTCGCGGGAGCTTAATTCATCCTCAGCCTCTGGGATCTCATCGGGCCTAGGCAATCTTCATCGCCACTTTCGCAGTTCCCGTTCGCCCTTGGTAGGGCAAGTACTTCACCACCACATGCTCCAAATTCATCGTCCAAATCCAAAGTCTGTTGTCATTCCTGAAGAGCTGTCGTGAAAATTGCGAACTGAAATTCTAACCACTAACCGAATTCCCTCCCTCCGATTCACTCTACTACCTACTACAATGTTGTTTTCGTTGCGATCGGGGCACGTGTCCACGACTTTACGTCAGCGCCTGAAACTTGTCTCCAGACCTCTCCGCCACCGAAATGGAGAAATTTCACACTTCGCGTGGTGAATGCAGGAAAACGAAAAGAAAAACACTAATTTCGTGTCGATATTCGAAATCAGCACGATGAAAACTACTAAATAATTGATTTTCATTTTTCACTTCAGTTCCCCTTTAAGGAAGTGCCAAAACTTCAAGAGCTTTTTTAAGGAACAAAGGGGCCTTAGCGATGGTCGCGGACTACAGACCCAACTTTCTGGGGCTTAAATCCCTGACCCGACCAAACTGTCACCCAGAGTGAGGGGCATTGCCAGCTATCTGCAATTCCAGGCGTAGGAATCACGAGGTGTGGTCACATCCAGAGGAAGGTCAAGGACCCTGCTCAAATGGGCATAGCTTCCCAGTGTCCTATTACTATCTTCAGATGCTAGATAGAAACAAATGAAGAAAACTGCTTCTTTTTTGCATTATAAAGATTTTCAGTTCCCATCTGGTAGTAATGTTGTTAGACATTGGTAATTTTCTTCAGAAATGTTTTTGACTTGATTTAAATGTCACAGCTCTCTTTGTCATTTTTGTACAAAGAAAATTAAAAGTGTTATTCCGTTTAGAATCGCAGTTTTATCGACTTCTTCCACCGGGAAGTGCATTCAAAGTCACAAAAGTAGAATACGTCGTGCAACCAACTCTTATTCATAGATTCAAGGAAGCCAGGCAAAAGATTGTGAATGTCCGAGGTGAAGACAGCTCTTACCCAGTTCTAGGTTTCCATGGCACCAAAGAGCAGAACATTGAGTCGATTTGCGAGACAGGCTTTAGGGTGCCAGGAGAGAACGGTTTTGAGCATGCTACTGACCCAGGTATGGATTACAATTAAAATATGTACCTTGCGTGTGGTACTTCATCCAAACGATAATATAGTTAGCCAATAAATTGACTACCAGTATCAAAATATAATAGTTTGATTGTTAAAAACGACGTTTGCGAGCATGTACTCATTATCAAGTACTGTTATATTTTTATTCTGGTTCTCAATTCATTGGCTAACTATATTATCATTGGATTACAATGCTTTCCAATAGTCTTAGAACACTGGTATCAGTCAACTCCTTTCCTTACCTTTCCAGAACGATGTGTTGTTACAATGAAACAGTGTAGGAGATTAGGAGGTATCTTCTTTCGTGTTTCTTGTATGATTATCAGCGATGTTTTAAGGGAAAGGGGCGGACGTAGTAAACTTTTGGAAAAAGAAACAAGATATAAAACGGAATGCATATGGCTGGGTGTTCCAAGTATTTTGGGCAGGCTTGTAGTTTTCTGTTCCTCTTTGGTATTCTTTAAAGTGTTCGATACTTCTCTACTGTTTCTTTACTTCATTGTATTTCTGATCGTTTTACCAAGGTAGTTTTACTGAAGGAAAGACAGCCCCCTATATCTGTTCTAACGTCTGAGCTTTTCAAATTGCAAATATATGGGAAAAGAAAGCTTTCGGTACCGCAAAATTTGAAGATAGCACGGAAAAGCGGATTCATGGCACGCTTAAGTGCTTCTCGTCAGCCACTGGCACCAGATTCTTTATGACAGGTTACTTTCAATCCGCATCTGAACATGAAGATGCAGAGACATCAATTCGTTATCAGAATTTCATACTCTAAGGAGTTTTATAGGAAAAGTAGTTACGTATGCTGTGTTTTCTATTTTCCATGTTGTCTTCAAAAATGCTATTTATCCAGATAGTGGCCAACTTCCTGAAAATCGTCTCTACATGTCCCTGTGAAAAGAGATTGGAGGTGCTCACCTCTGTATTTTGGCATTGAAAGTATTATCTACCATAAACAATTTGCATTTTAGGGTGGTATGGTAAAGGCGTATACTTCAGTGAGTACCCAAGGTATTCCATGAATTACATCAAAGACTCAAGCAAACTGCTACTATGCCAAGTACTGCCTGGAAAAGTCTATCGTTGTCGATACATCATACAAGGTGAATCTCTTCGTCAGGGATATGACTCACATATGTCTCCTGATGGTAAGGAGGTTGTTATATTCAACTCGCATCACATTCTCCCATCTTATATCGTTCACTATACATTCTGTCACGGTGATTTTCAGTACGAGAAGAATGAGTAGGCATTGCTGTTTAGGCAATGTGGCGAGAGTTTTAGATTTTAGACATTAGATTTTAGGCCATTTGCTTTTGTTTAGGTGGCAACCTTGTCTGTACATGTCTGTAGTGTTTATATCTGGAGCTTCAAGTCCTTGAAACACATTGAAATCCGTCGAAGAATTTCATAGTATTTTTTATTTCAACAGGTTTGAAAATAACAAAAATCTAAAACTGAGCCATTCAGAAACCTTCTTTCAATCTTCGGAAATATTTGGAAGTAAGACAATGACCAATAGTGGTCAATGCCATAGAAAGCTTGACGCGCTTGTGTTTATACACTCATCAGGCAAAATTACATCAAATATAACACTGTAGATAATGCAAGTTGATAGCCAAAATCGTCCTCTTCGCTGATAGGTATAATTTTTCTCGTTTATGCAAATTTAGATGCACAAAAATCTTTTTTGCAGTAACAAACACGTATTTGGCGTCAAGGCCGTATAATGGAAAGGTATTTTGGTCTCAGGCCTATTATCTCTTCTCGTTACTCTATACCATTATCATTCGTATAATGGTCAAACTTGTTATTAAATTGACGAGTGTATCTCTCTCAATCATTGTAATTCATTTGACCTGCCTTTTTCAACATTGCTTTTTCTTATTCTCACTTTCCAGTCTCCAATTAAACTCCTGACAGTTTAAAATTTTTCCTTTCACAACTATTTTGTTAATGTTGTCTGTTGACTTTGATTTTAGACATTTTATAAATTTATTAATGATTTCGAGTGTTATAAACATTTTTTTATGCTTTAGTAGAATACGAAAAAAATTATTTGCCGTGAAATTAATGTTTGGATTGTACTCTGTGTTCTCGAGTTTGGATTGTACTCTGTGTTCTAGAGTTTAGGCAGCTCACACTTGGGGCTTTGATTTAAAGCGAAATATTTTTTATTGTCTGCTGCGTAGAATTGTGTTGTGATTTGAATCGATGTATCTGATGATGATATATTATCAATTGAAGATTTAAATCGTAGTTAACGCGTAGTTTTCTCGACCTTTGTCTTTGAAGGGAATTGGCAAAGCAGTTTGCCTGTATAGCCTTGTTCCGATATATTCTACGAATTTTGCATATCTAGAGATATTCAAAGGTTTTCTTTCAGGTTATGTGGTCAAAGGTCAGAGACATCACAATAACTTTTTATGACGTCATCAGTTAATGACGCCCGATACTTGGAAAATGTATGACGCTCGTAAAATGCCATTAACCCCGTTTTCCTCATGTAGGCTGCTAGCTGCATTTGATATCGAGAGCTGTTAGACAATACTCAAGTCAGGCATGAATCCGCAGTGGAAAATTATTTATTGAACCAAACATTAGGAACTACACTTCTGTCTTTTTCCATTTGTGTAAATCAGCCGTTGTTACAAAAACTTTATTCACTTTATACAATGTTTTCCAGCCATTTTAGGATTTGTGTCAACATGCACAAGTTTCATCCTCAAAATCGATGTTTGATAAACTATCATCTGCCTCTAAAAATTTCCTCTCTACTCCCTCATCATTTTCTTTCATCCTCTTTTTTGTCAAATTTCCTTGTTCCAGTAGTTTTTGAGTAAGCTCCAAAGCCAAAGTTTGATTAACCGAAAAGGAAAGTAGCAATACAGTAATTCCCCGCATATAAGAACCTACAAAAATAAGAACCTAGAGGCTGTTTTTCCTAAATTATGCACCTTGTAATTAAGAACCTGTTTCAGTGTGATAAAATATAATAGGTTCTTATCCCAAGGGCAAAAAATAGAGTGATGATAATGAATCCTAAAATTTTAAATAAGGATCCTTCGAATAAGAACCTTTATACCCTGAAATTAATCCAAGTACCTTTCCATTAAGAACCTACTTCAGCCTGAACCTCAAAAAGTCGGTTCTTATATGCGGGGATTTACTGTATTGCAATGGAGTAGAGCTATATATGAGTAGCATTTTTCTCGCTCTCTAAATTTCCTAACACTAACTGGGCTGCTGTTTAACGTCCCTCGAAACAGTGGACTGCTGTGGTGATTTACAACCCTATTTTTTTGCAAATGTGTTGTAGTAACGATGTGCTATTAATAAAACTGCAGTGCTTCAGAAATACATGTTTTGCCAGAATGTTTGACTTGCAAAAGCTTGATTGGTTATTTTACTGTTGCTCATTGCAAAAAAATATAAAAACCTTTACTATAAATCAACTAAAATGAAATCTTGTGCTCGTTGCCCTTTCTGCTGCGTCGATCATGTCTTGAATATGATTACTGACTTTAGCTTTCCATTCACTTTGTTTAGCTTTCACAAAACTCGTTTTTCAATTCTTTCATTTGCCAAATTTTCTACAGATTATGCCGATTTTTTATTTAGAGGTATTTCTGAATTTTTCATGAGAAAGCGTTAAAAATAACACAAAAACATTTTTCGTGATATCCATTTTTGGTACTCTTTTATATGGCCCATAGTCAACTATTGCTTTTAGCGATATCGCTTTTCTTTCTCCAAAGAATAACAGACACATGTTCACTAGCATCAGTTTTTCAATTGATGGTGGTGTTGTTCACGAAAATGGTTTTCTTTCACGAATTAGGTCTTGCCACTGCACCAGGGATATAAAAGGTGATAGGCCCTGGTTCTAACGTAAAAATCAAGCTGTTTTAAAAGCATGAGGCGAGAAAATGTTTAGCCTTTCTCGGAAGGTCGTTTCTTCCATCCCACCTGGATTGCATCAATGATAACTTCGACAAGAAATAATTCGCTATTTCATTCTGGATTGATTTGATTCGTTTTTACAATCGAGTCTGCTTGCTATTGATCAGAGATCATAAGAACTTCAAAAGGAGCTGCTGATGGATTTGTGATGAAGTCAGCACATCCAAACCTCAGTTTGGGCCAGTTTGAGATTTTTTGCCAATTTGTTTTCGTATTGAAACCGCAAAGAGGAGATTGAGTATGTTGTAGTTATTTTCGACTTCTTGCTTCTTGCAAGCACTTCACGGTCTCCACCTTCCAGGAAAGCTTGCGAAGGGGAGTTTCCGAGCAAGCACTTTATCTTTTCTTTTCTTATCTCCAAAGTAAAGACAGGTTCTGCCTTGATAAAGGTTGCAAGCAAAAGCGTACCACTTGTATCAGAGCCACAGTCGCAGTGAAGGTCAAACACTCTTTCACTGACCAACACTTTTACTGAGGTTGTGGCACCTATGGAGCAACAGCAGCGAAAGGGTTCTCGGCGTGGTCGGATTTTGTATTTGCCCAATCCAGTCCCAGTGTGTAAAGCAAAGGGTGGGGACGGGTATTTTTCTGACGAAGAACTTCGTGATATGACTCTATGATGAGAAATTGGACATCTTTGTTCTCTTTTAGAAGCAGCAGCACTTCCTGTCACTAAAAAGGACTTTCCTGTCAATAGGGGTGATGTCTGAGACACTTAGTCCCCGCTTAGAGCCTTCGTGGTTGGTGTGGCGAAATTTGGTCCCGTTTGTCCGTAATCCGTGTTTTCTTTTGGAAACGAGGCGGCGACGTGGGAGCAACAAAAACAACAACAGCAACAAAGCTATTGCTTTTCTCTACAAGATGGCTGATAACCTTGGACCACTGTCTCATGCTCGAAGCACGCATTACACGGAATGGCAACCTACCGCCGAGTTGATGCAACCATTGATTGAAATGGGAGTTTCAGAAAATGCTGCTAAACGGGTAAAAAAAGCTATGAGCCCTTTTTCTCGCGAAATGATCTCAAATCAATATGTGTGTAATTTGGGACAAATTCTTGGTTTTTTACCTACCTCTACTCACTCACTGCTATTAGATAGGCGAATTCAATTTTTATATATACATTTGGGATGTAAAGAATTGGTGATGAAGAAGGAAATTTTTTTATATTCTTTTGTCGTCGGTAATAATATATCATTCTATAAACAGTACTGTTCCAAATTACCCTATTTCATAGTTCCAAATCATTCACATGAAATATCTAAAGGCACAGACAAACTGTTGTCTCGAAAATTTCATGTCTGTAAAATCTTCACCAAAATTTCCCAAAATATAATACTTTTTAAAAACATAAAATGAGACTTTGGCCATCATGTAGTCTTTTGACTTTTGAGCCACTTGATTTTGGTTCTTAGTGCCTTACATAATGTTAATAACTTTTCATGAATAAACCTTAGAACTGTCCAAAGTAACAATTAATACGACATTAAGACTGTATATAGTACTTACTAACGATTTATGGAAATCTCAAATAATTTTCCAAATTATCCCCAGGGTGGCCCGTAGTTTCCCCTCTCCCAAAAATTATACCAGTTTACCCCCACCCACACATAAGTTCAGTTCAGTTCAGTTCAGTTTTATTTTAAATTCCACTGGATACATACACTTGTTGCAAATTAGAAATAATCCAAGCTTAAAAGTATAAACAATGTAAAAGGAAGTTAAATAATATAAACGTAACATAACAAATACAGAGTATATTAGTGTAAGGATAGTGCTTATCCTAGCCACCATGTATGTATAATATTGCTTTTTGGTCTACTGCCAATTGGACTCAAGAAACCACCCCAAATTTTCCTCAAAATTTGCTCTTTCTCTGTTTGCCTTCGTAGAAATACTAGTTGATATTGATTTGTTCCTATACTTTGCTCTACATCATAGTACCATTGTTTTTATGATTTGATTTTTCACATGCAGAAAAAAAAGCCTGCAAGAAACAATGTTACACAAAATGTGCGTCTTGATGAGTTTACTGACTAAATTGCAATACAGGGCATATACACTTGAAACCAGGATAATCCATGTGTTGTCAGTTACCTTACCATGGATACAACTGAGGGTAATATTATGGATAGACCTAGACAGCTGTTTAATAATAAAGTGTCTACTATAAGCAGGCTTTGTTAGTAGAGAGACTGCTCCATCCAGACACACCTAGAAAGTTATATGACCATGATCAATCAAGCTCCTAGTGAGTTTATGCTGTCTAAAACTGAATACAAAATCAAATTTGTTATTGAAGATATTTTAGGGATGGATACAGAATAAAAGTTGATGATCGCACATTAACACTACCCAGCAGATGGTCTAGGGGGGCCTCTCTCATGGTCAAGGGCAGAGCCGTGATAGGGACCCAGCCCCCGGAACTAGAGCAACTAGGTCTAATTTTAAAGGCAAAAACCCTAAAGTTTACCATGTCGATTATTCCAACCACTATAAATAAAGAAATAATTTCACTTTGCTCACAAAAGTCATCTTGATTTTTTATCCAAAATATTATTTTCAAGTCTTGTAAGCGTTTACTTTCCGAATGCAATTTGTCTCGCTAAGCAACTGTTACACTTTGATCAATGAAACGCCCCAATTGGACACCATTCTCTTTGGGAGTGAAAGTTGCAACACCAACAAGGTGCATAGGCCTTATGGTAGTTCTGAGGGTCATGACGGGACTAGGAAATATCTCAAATTTTAGCCAGCACTGAAATGCTCAAATTGTTCTGTCAAATACATTTGTCTTTAAAAGGTTTTCCAATTTTTCCAGCAAGTCCAACAAACAAAATATCTGGAGATTTAGAAGTGTACCTCTTCCGTATAGATAAAGAAAATTGGGACTCTTCCCTTTCCCAACTTACAACCTCATCCACCTTCTCCCCTTGCCAGCAGTTGTGCAGCACAGTAATCTAACATAATGTTTACAGGCTTTTTGTGCCACGCAAATATGTTAACACTTGAACCTTGATTGGTGAGATTTGGCAAAATATTTGCATAACAAAGAGCCCTGCATGTTTGTGCAGCACAGGCCACATGCTTAAAAATCACACTGTTTACGGTCTAGGATGGTCTTTGAATTTCTTCTATATTAAATTAAATCATAGCATTGTGTGTGGGACCGATCAAGTTCGGTCCTGTGTTTATTATGTAAAGAGAGTTAAACGTATTAACTGTAAAGAGAAATATAAAAGATTGTGGTAAAAATGATTGCCTAATCTTAATGGCTGAAAACGAAAACTTAATTCTGAAAATCTGATGGTCTTCAGTGCAACCTGTGCAACACCCTGAATCTGCCCCTGTGATTTTCATAATTTTTGAAAACATATTTGTTTTTGACATTCTGTAAACTGAATTGCAAAAGACTTTAAATGACATGGCATTAAATAGGTAGATTTACATAGCCTTTTTTGCTTGCATGCAGCATTTTCATTTGGATCTGGTTTACAATTGGGTATTGTTCAGTTCAGTTAATATCATAAATTTGCAATAAAATATTATTTGTTTGCAATGTTTCCTCAATTTGTTTCAATCTATTTAAAGTATTTCTTTCTTCAGTAATGTATGTTGTTTGTGGCTTTATGTTATCATCCAGTTTCTGTGGATGATTTCTATCCCTTTGAATTTGCCAGACATTCAGTATATTGTATCATATATTTCTTGTTTTCAAGCAGTTTTCTCAGATGCAGCTTTCTGTGTGTGTTGAAGCAAATATAAAATGTCAAGTTGTTTATTTAAAATGGTATTAGCAACAGCTTGATAATGATTTTTTATTCAAGGGCCTCTATTACACTGGTGGTGTTTCAGTTGATGCGGCTGCTTCTTGGGTGTTTGAAAATATGAATGATCCAGAGATCCACTCTCCATTTAAGGTATGTGTATGTCATATATTTTTCCATATTGACCAAAACTTTTTCGGTAACTTACCTTTGTAACTCAGTATTCAGTTTATTTTCTGTGTTTTTCAATCTGAATTTTCAAATTGAAGTAAATTGAAGCTAACCTGTCTTTTATTATATACAGCTTATGTGAGCTATCATTCCAATAAATAGCCTTAGGTGAGTGTAGAATAGATGAAGTCCACTTTTTTTGCTTCCCTTGTAGCATAACATAAACATATTGTGCCTACCCATGCAGGGGTTATTCTAAAAAAAAGTCACAACAACACAATTTTTAGCACTGTTACTTTTTGTTTAATTTTTTAACTCTGCTGTTGAGAAAAAGCAAAAAACAACAGTAGCTTTAGAACCACTGACCTCAAAAATAAACCTTTCTTTTAACTTCAATGTTGGCATTGGCATTTTAGACCGTAAGTATTGATGGGATATAGATGGGAGGTGCTTTTACCTAATAAGGATGCAAGAATACAAAAAGCAGTAAAAATCGGCCTGGATAGCAGCCCGCAATCCCTTATCATCTATGCAGATAAGTGGCCGAGAAACCTTAAAAACCCTGTTAGACAAATAAACATACAACCAGTGTACCAAAATCCCTTTATCATAGACACAGCAGAAGTGCAAGAGAAAATATGCCTGGATCTGGAAATTTCCTAATGGCATAAGAGCATCAAGATGTGGCCAATTGTCATAATGAAAAATATGAAACTGGCAGATTTTATTAACCTCTCAACATAAAAAAGTGTTCATCCATATCTTATGCAAGCATTGGCTAGGATGCTAGTTGCAGAGCCTCACTCATGTGTCGTTAGAAGGCTAATGATTTTATGCCATCCTTCCAAAACATCCATGCAAAGTAGAATCAGCATCACCACACAAATCTGTACCTACATCTGCATTCCACTTTATCAGTTTGCAAAAAAAAGGGACCTTCATCCCCAAGGTGGGTTACCTTGGAGGAGAAAAATTATGGGGTTGCGCCTTCCACAATAGATTTTTTATCCTGTCCTGGAAAAAATTCTGAAACAAGAAGCCTGTCCTGGAATAAGAGCTGTAATTCCAAATTTAAGCTTTAAGAGAATAAAGCTATAGAGTGGAAAACACTTTCATTTCTTTGACAAGTCTGGCCTGTCCTGGGAAAATATCTTTGATGGGCAATCCTTTGCCAGAAAGAGGAGACAAAAGGTAAAACCATGTACCAGAACTTTTAGCCAGAGAAGAGACCCTGTTGGCAAGCTCATCCCCGGTTGGTCCCCTGGGCCCTCATCCAAGCATCATTTCCATTCTGTTCGTGGGATGTAATCGAAAGAGAGAAGGCAAAAGCAAATAGAGAAAACAAAAATTTGTCGATTATTAGACAAACTATACGAAGAATATTATTTGCTATTTACTATAATTTTTCTGGTGTGTCAAGTATTTTTGATTTGGTGTTTGATTTTGAAATTCTTATACTTTTGCCAAACGATTTCTATATTTTGCGAAAAATTGTTCCAGGGAGAAGATTTTCTTAACAAAAATGAACACCACAAAATTGAACTCACAACACCCAAAATAAAATTTATAACACCAAAAAACCGTATCAAAACCACGTTGGAATAACCCCTAGACCCAGGCCCATTTTCTATCTTTTAATCCGCAGTGAATTTGCAAGGAAGTAGGAAATAGTTCTACTTCCTTGCTTTAAAATATCTCGCAACAACTGATAACCAATTAGAAAATGATGAATTTACTTGATTTCTGTGAAAATAACCTATGAACATTCACCATTCCTGCAATTTTGAAAATGGACGCATAAAAGTTTAGTTTAATGGAAGACAAAATATAATTTCGCAGCCAATTCACAGTATCTTCAAAATCAGAATATAATCAGAATTTGCTGAAAATGTGCCTCAAGGAAGCTGTGCCGCAATAAACGCACCAAGACACAAAAAGATTGAGCTTTTTAGTGTGATAAAAGGTTCTTTGTATCGTGTTTATTTATGACCTGAATGGGTCTCCTGAGTAATTTTAATGATTTATCAAGCACTGCGCAAAATAACCCACTCTATGGATACTTATCACAATTAATTATCCTCACATTAAATATAATTCTATTGACACATACTTTGCCTTTCGGCTGTAAATGACTTTTATTATATCGAAAAAATCGAATCTTAAATCTTTGTTTGAAGTAAAACCACCGACACCAGAAGGCCAAGGGGAGGTGTCTCCATTCTTGTGTGTTAAAGAAATCTAACACAGAGCTATGAGTAACAAATCAAAATAGACTTTGCCCAACCACTTTGAAGTTTGCGCCTTACCCTCTGGAAGTAACAGTTTTTTTCTCAATGGAAACTTCAGATGAAATGTCTCTCTGAGAATTTAAGGCTTTTCTCTCATTTTGTCAATTCACTTCCCCGATGCGAAAATATGTCAAATGCAAAGAGGTTCAAGCTTTTGATTAAAGAAAACGAAACAGCGATGGAAGACTATACTTAAAAGATATTATAGGTGGTAGATGTTTTTTCTCGAAAAGGCCTAACACAGGGAAGAGAAATCGTGTTTTCGCGAGTTTAAGTTTGTTTATTCACGGTTCTTAAAATGAAATGCATTTTCACGAAGCATGGTGATTATAGCTGTCAATGGCTGCAACCTATGCAGCTGCGGCTATTAAAAAGAGTTTTTAATGAATTGAAGAATCTATTTAGTTATAGCTAATTTTTTCCATTTTTTCAGGTTGAATTGGACATACCCCCTCCAAGTGACGAAAGTGGTCAGTCAGATCCTTTAAAAATGGTTTTTATCGTCAACAACAGTTTGAAAATGGGGGTAGGCAAAATAGCTGCACAGGTAGCACACGCGGGGCTGGCGGTTCACAAGAAGCTACTGCTTGGAGAAACAAAACTACGACATATGGAAGAAGAATGGGAAGAAATGGGGTATGTTCTTAAGATTTTCCACTGTAATAGGAAGTATAATTACCTCACATTTATATTCGTATTATTGTGAGTTAAAATCCTGCACCGAAAATGATTCATTAGTGGCTGGAAAATTTCAATTTTATGGATCCATTTCCCATAGCATCGGCTAATTTGGTCTCTTTATGTAGGTGTACGAAGATAGTCGTAAAAGCTGAATCTGCTTCTGAGCTTATGGAAATGGAACGCAAAGCAAAAGGACTGCACCTACCATGTTATCTTGTCGTCGATGCCGGGAGAACACAGGTGAATAATCAGTTCCTTGGCACCAACCTTTTACCCTTATATACCTTTATATGCCAGATATACCTTTTTGCCAACCCTTAGCCTTTAAGGCTGTGTTCAAACGAACGTCGAACGGCGTATGGCCTTCTTATATTAGCAAAATTATCCCACCTTTCAGCCCATAAGCTAGCAGATGGGATTAAATTATCACATGTTTACATGCAGATTCTATCCCACCAAATACGTATATGTTATGTTTCTTATCCTACCACACAGCTTTCCCCGGATACCTCAACGCGAATTTTTATCGTTATGGTATGCGAACGCATGCGCATAGAGGCGAATTTCATCCTACCTTCAAGCCAATTTTTGTGTTTACATGGAAGAGTTCATCCTATTCAGGCAAGATCGGGTAAGCTGAGAGCCATGTGGAGAATTGCTTGGACAAAATACAATAGTTTTCACTGGCCGCAGCGATAAATTTCATCAAATTTCATTCAACAATTTTCCTGTCTAAAACATGCTTTCGAGCATAAATAAAAAAGTACAAATGATTCTGGCACGATAAACCCTTTATAGTTGAATTGCATGTCCTATTTTTCTGTTTTCTTCAACTTTCAAACCGCTATTTTTTAGTTTAAAACAGCAAGTCACCGACAATCGATAGTGCTTCAGTGCAGCATTCGTAGGCTTGTGCAAGGACATGTCGTACTATCTGCAATATTGTATAAGTCTCGTGTTCGATATACAGAAAGTGCACACGGAGGCTAAAGAGCGCACTTTTTGATATGAAAATTTCCGTCTTCGCGCGAAAAAAGTTATCGGCATTTTCAGTCTGAATTTTGAGAAATTTTCTCGACGGGTTTGAGATAAGACCAGTAGTGCAATTATCTAGTAGCTCGTTCGTTTTCAGTAACAATTTATTGTTTTTTCTCAGTTATATTTTGTCTAGCCTGCTTAGCGAGTTATGCATACAATATTTTCATAGATTGATGATTTATTTTTACTGGTTTTTTATTGAGGAGCCGCAAAGTAGCAAGTCTCCAATCCCCTTAGCAAGTCACTTTTTCTTTCGTATGAGAATCTCATTTGCCACGGATAGAGTTTTAAACACATTTAAACACAAGATGTAAATTGCAAAGCCCTGTATAGAAATAGTAACGATCAATGTAAGTAAATTGTACCAGGAAATATTTTTTTTAAAAAAGATAACGACGTTTCGAGCATAGCCCGTTACTTGATAAGAAGAATAGAGCGCAGCAGAACGATCTTGATTTAGTTTGAACACTTTAACAAGACAGCTACAGCGCTTGCATAATACAGTTTTGAGTTTGGAATAATTATTGGTTGACTTTTCTTATTTCTTTTGACTTTATCCTTTGACTTTATGTTTTTTTAGCTACATTATTATGCAATCAGGAGGAGCTAGTTTATTTTTCCGTTGGACTATATTACAATTTATTACCCATGGGCTGATAATTATGTGTATGTAGTAATCAGAAAGTAGGCCATATATGAAGCACTCTTGAAAAGGCACTGTATTGTGCTGTGTTGCATTGTCTGAAGCAAGATGTTATTGTGAAAATGATCAGTCAAAACACGTCATCTAGAAGTTTGCGATCAGCCTGAGCTGTTAGCGGCAAAATGTAAGATAGCAGCAATAGAGAAGCACGTATTGCTTTAAACTGTTGAATCGCTTAAACTGCATTCAGGTAGGGGTTCTGTAGCGCTACACTGTTAAGGTACTCGTTTGATGCTGTGAGATAGCTGTCCAGAGCATCTGTGCACGCAGGTTTGAGTTTAAATTCGCTGATTTAAGCACACAATAATTTTTTTAGATTAACTATTTATTGCATTGAAACGCAGAGAAGATTTTGCACAGTTAATCTGCAGTTACGAACTGTAGTTTTCATTTTGCTATGGAGATCACTTAGAATGATTTCGTCTTTTGCAGTGTTTAGAAACATACAATCTAAATGCTAGAGATTGAGCGAAAATTTCTAAAACATGCCTGTACTAATTATTAGTAAAATAAACATTCCTTCGGAATATTAGTAAGCGTTAAATCAACGTCAGTAAAAATGCATCAATCATTTTCAATCAAATTTATACTCATTTATACAAATTTATACATTCTTCCAACTTTCGTATATGTTTTTTAATTACTAAAATTTCGAAAATATCAAGTTTACGATCTTATGTTAAGCTCTCTAGAAATGTTACCAAAAAATAAATCAAAGCCGAAACATGCTTTGAGATAATTTTCCTTCGCACTTATAATCCTTTTGCTATATAGATATGTTTATAACTGTGAAAAATGTTTGCTAGAAGACGCTTTGGGCTTAAATTATGTTTGCGAAAGCAGGCTTAACAAAATATGGTCAAATAGGTGAGAAGTTATATGGCTGATGTATCATTTTGATTGGCACGTGAGCTCCAGCCAGTAAACTGATTGATATGAATACGAATGCGTGCTGCTCTTTATGCTGTCTTTGTTCTCACGGTCATGCCTACTGAACTCTCTAAGGATTTCTATTACAATTTCAGGTGCATCCTTCCTCCGTAACTGTTCTTGGAATTTTCGGAAAGGCTGAAGATGTCAACAAAGTGACTGGCCATCTTGCTTTGCTATAGGTATTGCTTCAATTAACAGAGACTAGCTTCCTATAACAGCCCCTAATCATCTCGGCTAACCCAGCGAGAGGGGCATTTGCTTTTGTTTTTATTCTTTCATCGCAACTTGTGAAGACAGATAGCCATTTTGTTTTGGATTTATCAATATTTTATTCGAAACCACGAAAATTGTTGCATCTAATGGCATTTGCACAAAGTACTTCAGGTCTGTCAACAATAAACGTAAGGTTCAAATGAATCTGAATCATGCGACAGTTCTGGTAACATTTTGGATTTTTTGCAAGTGTCTAAAATCTGGATTTCTTTCGTGTGCCTTACTTTTCCAAGATTAATTTTATCCAAATACTTATAACCTATAGAATTTATGATCTAAAATGCTCGAGGTTTGTGTGAAATTACAATAACGAGCTATTGACTTGTTACAAAATGCTGATACACCAGATTGGTTAGGGCGTTTGTGACAGTTGATTGCATTTTTATATTGCATTTTAGATAGGTATTTTGCTACATGTGGAATTAAAAAGTTGAAAGTTGGAAGGTTAGTTTGTCTGAAAATTGATGTTATAGATTAGGTAATAGGCGAATTACACCTAGTGAGAAAATTATTGTCTTAGAAATATCGGTTTTAGACATGCCAAGATATAAATTTCATTTTTGCATTCAATTGTTGTTGGACTTTGTAAATTTAAAGGGGAACACGTCGACTGCAACCTCGGGGGATAAACAAAGCCTAATTTTTGACGGGGACGTATCATTTTAGTTTAAAATTTGGACCCATAATTCGGCAAATGTCTAAAAAAAGGTGACCCATAATTCCGCTAACATGATGAAAACTATACCCGTAATTCCGCAAAGCAAATTAAATTTTTAAAGCACATAAAAATCATTTAACAAATTTTGCATGTCCTTTTTTTATTTTTAACTGGACATTCATTTTGTTAATGCTAAATCTCCCTCCGTACAATTTTGCAATATTTTCCCAAAATGGTACCCATAATTCTGCATGTTTCTTCAAATTGTATCCATGGTTCCGCGAATATTTCAAAAACCTATACCGATAACTCCACACTTTTCAGAAAAAAGTTACCCTTAAATAATGGCACATCCCTGTACCTTCAAACATGCTAGATACCCCTCCCCCTCCGAGACTCCATGCCAATTCCATCCAACCAAACTCCATCCAATTGATGTAATCTGAATTCTAAAATAATTAATAGTTACAGAGAATTTCGCTAGTTTAACTGAATTCATATTATTTAGTATTTGATATAAATAACAGAATCTAAGCAATTGGAGGACAGTTTATCTAAAAAAATATTAGAGGCATATGGTAGCTTAAATCATGCGATAGATTGGTAGTTTTAAAGCGTTTTGTTTGTATCCTGCAGTTTTCCACTGACATACACTAAGCAAATCATTTAAGAGATGGCAAGCTTTACCAATCAAACATCTTTATTTTTATTTCATTATTTAATCTCCCGCTTTCTTCTAACTACCTCAATTTCTCTTTCTTTTCTAAGCGTATATTTACCACCCTCTCAATTTATTTAAATTAAAAAAAAACAATACTTCGTTTATCCTCGTATTACTCTTATAAAATAACTTAGGTTTGTATTTATTTAATGTTTACTTCTGTTAGCAGCTTCTCATCTGCAATAACCAAGAAAATTTATGTGTCAATTTATGAAAGCTTCTTTTCGTGGCTAATGAGCGATAGATTAGTTACTTTAAAATACATATATCATTTGTTGCTGTTACTACCTGCTGGCTGCTTGATGCTGTAACCAGGGTATTTGAGCTATGGTCTGTTTGGAGGCCAATCGAGAGGGGGCTAGGAGGCAGTCGCCCCTGCACCCATAGACAAAGAGGGGTCTGCTTTTAATTAAACTGTATCTATTTAAGATATGACTGTTAATGACATGGTAATTACCAATCATATCTGTCCAAGGACAATTCAGCAATGTTTTACGAATATCAGTTAAAAGATACTTTTGACAATTCTTTGCATTTTAAATCCGGAAGCTATCCAGGTTTATGGTTTTGTGTGGGAAGTGGCCCAGGTGTGGTTCTCGGCGGTTTGTTCTTTGGGTTCTTATAAACTTTTAATTCTTGTTTATAGACTGACGTACTGTAGTCTTTTTGTTTAGTTTCTACAAAGGAACTTATGAAGTTGTTTACACAAGTGAAAGTAGCTCGGTTACATTTCAATCCGATCCAAATGGGATCTATTCCGGGGTTTTTTGCCTTTTTTTTCAGCTTTCGACTTAGCGAAGTTCAAACAATGCTCTGTAAAATTCATTACTTTCTTTCGAGGCTACTCCTGCTATTTTCTTTCCTGGTAAAAGAACTAAATTTTTATAAGAAATACAAACTACTTTTTTCAAAATTTATTGCTTATAAAATAAACCGAATTTTTCTGAAATTTGCTTTAACTCAACATTTTTCATAGAGAACAGTTATAAACTTGGAAACATACATCATTTAGTGCTTTAAGTCCTCCCCTTTTATGCACATCCTTGTATGAATTGTTTTTTATGTGTGGAGTTATATCAGAAAATCCTTTGAAATCATGTTTTGTAGACAAGGCATGAGAAACCATGTTTAAAGGGGTATTTCTGAGGTGAGAGACTACTTTTGTCTTTTTCAGCAAATCGAATTGTGTAGGTTTGCCAAGTTTCTTGGCCTAATAGGAAACTAGATCAAGTTACCACTATATCATGTTCCATAGAATGAGTACTCCAGTCTAAAAGAGGCAAGGGGTATTTCGGAGGTGGGGGACCATTTTTATCATTTTTAGCAAGTCAAATTGTGTAGGTTTGCCAAGTTTCATGGCTTTACAGCTAACAGAAATGGATCAACCATAGTTATGTCTTCCGAGTGCTGGTCACAGGACCCCCATTCTAAAATTAGCGAAGGGGGTATTTCTGAAGTGGGGGACCATTCATTGACTTATCATTTTCAGCAAGTCAAATTTTGTAGGTTTGCCAAGTTTCATGGCTGTATAGTTAGCATACTAATGTATTCTGAGTATGACTTTGAAAAAAGAAAACATTTAGTAAATTAAAGCTTTTCGTCTGACACTCTTCAGAGTTCAAAACGTCAGAACATAGATCGAAAACTCTACGCTAGGAAATATATATACCCAGTTGTGGATCGAAATAGGCCAATCAGAAACACGAACACGTGACTGTATAGGTTGACCAATCAGTGCCGCTTGTCTATTGAGAATGTTACCAATGGAGTCCTTAGGTGAAAACCTTAATGTAAACTTAAATAACATCCTCTGGATAGCCGTTCTCTAGAAAGATCTTAGTTAGTTTTTTAAGTTCCGAGTCGAGTTTAGACTTGGAACAAATCATCAGTGTCCTATGAGTAAGCGTTTTGATGAGGCTGATTTTTCTTTGTTTTGGGCAAAACGAACTCCATCGAGTGTATAACCCCGAAAATGTGGGTTTACGGTATACACTAATGAGAAATCCAGTGCCAGATTTATCAACCAAAACATCTAGAAATGGCAAGGAGTTATTTGCTTCCTTTTCAAATGTAAAATGTAGGGCTGTGTGAAGGCCATTAAGGCGTTTTAGGAAAATATCACACTCAGCCTCTGTTTTGAAAATGGTACATGTGTCATCCACATACCGAAAATAAACCACTGGCTTTTGGTCGCAGTCAAACAAACGTTCTTCATGAAAGCCGACAAGGATATTGGCCAAGGCAGATCCCAGAGGGCTTCCCATAGCGATACCATCCTTTTGTTGGTACATTTCATTGTTAAAGCTGAATTCAACTTAACGCGTTGCAGTTTCCATCAGTTCAATGAATACTTCCTCTGGGAATGGTGGGCTATTAAGCTCGCTCCGGTACAAAGCGTCGGCACATATTTTGATGATCTCATTCAAAGGGACATTTGTGAAAAGACTGCTAATGTCAAAGGAACACATGAAAGATGTTTCGTCTTTGATGTTCAAGTTTTGCATGAATTCAGCGAACGTAAAACAGTCCTTAAAGGCACTGAGTCATGGTAAAAACTGGTTCTCCGCGGGGGGTTTGCATGTTTCCATGCGATAAGTTTGTTTTCATGTGATCAGACATTCTTTGTCGAAAGCGAAAGGGATTTGAAAAGCCTTTGTGGCATTTGAAAGGTTCAAATGGGGGAAGAAGTTTGAAATCTTTTGTAGATAGCAAGAGAAAAGAGAGAGAAAGAAAGAACCTTCAGAAACGGCGGAACAAAGAGCACTTACAACATCGTGTGTGCAGTTCGCTTGACAGTCAATCAGATTAGCGAAGCTATTATAATGACTCAGCAATTTTTGCAATTTGGGATACGCTTCCTATTTACCATGACTCAATGCCTTGAATGCCACACAAAAAAGTTCTGTTGTATATGAATTTACGTGCCAGTGTGATTCTGGCTACGTAGGACGCACCACCCAAAGATTAGAGGATAGAATAAAACAACATGTTCCGTCTAATATTAGAAACAAAACCCATCCCCAAAAAGAACAGCCACCTCGGTCTTGCAAATCTAAAATTACAATTAAAACCTGCGATTCTGCTATCGGGCAGCATTTACTAGAAAACCCAGATTGTGCAAGGAACTATAATGGCGACATGTTTCGGATTATTGGTAAAGCCCGATCATCGTTCCACCTAGCAGTTTTGGAATATATCTGCATAAGCACGAAAAAACCGCTATTGTGTAGACAAAAGGAGTTCCTTTTTCACCTTAGGACTCCATTGGTAACATTCTCAATAGGCAAGCGGCACTGATTGGTCAACCTATACAGTCATGTGTTCGTGTTTCTGATTGGCCTATTTCGATCCACAACTGGGTATATATATTTCCTAGCGTAGAGTTTTCGATCTATGTTCTGACGTTTTAAACTCTGAAGAGTGTCAGACGAAAAGCTTTAGTTTACTAAATGTTTGCTTTTTTCAAAGCCATTTTCAAGTTTTGTACCACCAAAAGATTGTTTGTTTTCTGGGTACTGGGCACAAGTACCCCGGTCTAAAAATAGCACAAGGAGCAGTCATGAGGGTTGGGACCATTTTTATCTTTTTTTAGCAAGTCAAATTGTGTAAGTTTCGCAAGTTTCATGGCTGTTTAGTTAACAGAAATAAACTGACCATACTAACGTATTCTGAGTACTGGGCACAAGTACCCCAGTCTCAAAATAGCACAAGGGTTTTTTCCCCAAAATAGGTATATATTCTGTCTTGTTACGCATATCGAATTCTGAACTACTAGGCATGTTTGTTTTGATACTTCCTTTTTTCGTTTCTGCCAGTCCCATATCCGTGTGGTGATACCTGCATTGAAATTTTTCTATAAGCCTTATGAATTTGATTTTAGGGAGGATACCTAATAGGTCCCCGATTCCCGAATTCCAGCTACGTTTTTAGCTCGACTCCCGATTCCTCACATCAATTCCCTTATCCCGGTGTTATCGATTCCCGAATCCCGCTCTCAGCAATTTGGCAATTCCCGATTCCTGACTCCAAAAAACTACGATTCCTGCTTCCCCCAAAACATGTTGTTTACCCTCATCAGGTAAGTCTCTATTCGAAATTCCTTGTTGAAAACTTTAATTTTGGTAGTTAGAAGTAACTTTTGCTGTCAATTGACGACTTGTTTCGTTTTTTGTACCACTGAAGATTTCGTTAAATCTTCAAGTGTATTTCCGAATAGTGCATTACTAGACATTTGGCCTTGCGCTAATGTTAATGTGCTTCATATAGTAACGCTGCTATGTCATATGAGAGACAGGGTTATTCGTACGAATCCATAGCTGATTGCGTTTTTCAGTTTCTGACGACAACTGCTGGGTCAAAGATGCAGTTAATTACCGATGCTACTGTGGCACAATTTTATTTCGTCGTTATTGACTTTTTTCGTGTAGGTTGTCTAATTAAAACGAGAAAGATTCTACTATTTCTCTTGTCACCTCCAATTTTGAGAATGTCACACTGTACCTGGATGATTCTTTAACGACAACTTGGCTTGAACTCTTATTGCAGCAATAACAAAGTTTTAAAAATAATCAATTGCAATACTACTCTTTTAGCCGAAAACGCAACATCCCTATTGTCTAACATCTTCACAGTTTCCAATATTTGCATAACGCTGTAAACTGGACACTATTGCGTTTCTTTTCTTTGTTTCTAATGAACTTAAACTCAAGAAGTTAATAATTTAAAGCCACAGCAAGGCTTCGACTGGGAAATAGAGTGTTTTTTGTCATTTGCGCAAGGATCACGCACCTCATAGCCTGAAATTTAAATGCTAAACTCGTCGACTGAGACAGTTGCCATGTCGAGGTAAGCTAAGACCTTTCATTTTAGAAAACTTTACGGAAACTGGAGAAAACTCGATCATAACATAATGTTCGAGCATGATTCAAATATACTCTCTCGTTTTTTATAAGAACAATTTTATAAGAACATGAGCCTTAAAATTGTTCAAAAGGTTTGAAAAAGATTAAGAAGCTGAGGATGAGCTACTGTAAAATGTAATTTGGAACAGCTTTTTATCTCAAAAACTTTTAGGATTTTTAGCCATGTTTGGGTGCTTTTTCGGTATATATTCAAACCTGTCTGCAAATGAAGGTTGTCTTATTCATTTTGTTGGTAAATGAGGCCACACCTCCCTAGAGCAAAAAGTTAGCAATCGCGCTGCTTACACCCTATTAATTTAAGAGCAAATAAAGAACAATCAAGCCTTAGATTTTCGAAAAAAATTAAGAACAGTCAGCGTGAATTTAAATTTACTGGTTCTTATAAAAATGATTGTAAGTATCGATTACAGCAATGTTGAGCGGGAGTTTCGGTTAACTCCCGTATGCTTTTGAATGTTGTGGCCCTCTCAACTTGCCTTGTAACACTCTAACACTCAACTTTGCTCAAAGAAACAAGTTGTAAATTTGTTACCATTATCAGTTAGATTTTGCTTCTTACTTTTGTAGCATCCTTCTCGTTCTCTGCAATATCCCCCTGGTCTATCTAGGTGAGTTAATTATGCAAAACTCTTTTAACAAACTTTGGTTGCCTCCCTCTGTTATTTTTATTTATAAATACCATCTGCAGGGATTTATTTCCGAACAATCTGTTTCAGTTGATCAATTTATTTTCCTTGTAGTCAAAACCAGTGCATTCTTCGAAATCGCTTATTCAATCGCCGAAACTAGTGGACTTCCTGTGTGCAAATTTTTACCGCAGGACTGTGCATTTCCGCCTGATTAAGAGTTTGACATCGATGATCTGAATGTTTAAAATGCTTAGACGTGTCAGAGGAGAGTTTCAGACCAAGGATGTTGGTTTTCTTATAATTAGAACCTCATAACTTCGATCAGCATTTTCCATAGGGGCAAAATCTAGAAAAATGGACACACTCAAGGTTCCTGGTACACAAGGTAAGAATTGTAAATATTTGAGAAATCAACGCTGCTAAAGCAATTCGTTTTCGGGTTGTTGCCTACAGGAAAATGTGTTAAAGCAAACTTTAAACTCGAATTAACATGCTTCAACAATTCATTTCCAAGCCCATCTTAAAATCTGTATACCCGACTCCCTTTGATGGCATTTTCACAACGTATTTTATAAATAAAGCTGAAAAATTGGGAACTTGACATCGGATCTTTGTTCTATGTATTCTCTCGATCCAATGGAGTATTAGGAAAAAACGTTATATTTCATGTAAGGATAATCGCAATTTTCGTTTGACTTGGATGGTAAATAATAATGTTTCCAAAAAATCACCGGTAAGAAATTTTATATTCATTTTCCTATTTCTGTTGACAAAATTCGCCTCTTGTAGTATCTTTATTTGATAAAAAGTAGTTTTTAGCAGGTGGATCTCGCTCATTTTTCTTTTGTTTAAATCAGTTGTTCAAGTATTATTCACAAGTTTCACTGTTTTCGTTCTTAATGACTTCTGTTTGGCCCACCGGTGGCTGAGAAGTGGACTCTAGCAATGTAAACCTGAGAAGAAAAAAAACATTTGTAGAGCCGTGTTCTTCATCAAATATGGCAGGTTTATAAAAGCGTCTATCTCTTACTTGGATTTATTATTTGTGCTAACAAGTTTTCAAGGTCACAAGACAATTATAGGGCATCGGTTCTGTCAAGTTTTGTTTGTTTACAGTCCGTAGGGGAACGGTTTCCGCCAGCATGGGTATGTATAAATGTCACGTTTCTGATCTAAGTTAACGTTTTACCGTCAGATTTGTTGATGAAACATCTCATGTATATGTTGGTGTTCAAAGACTGGGATCCCAAACGATACACTCTCTTTAGCAAGGTTTCCCACACGCTGACTTCCATTATAATTTTTTTTGAATGGCCTAAAAATTTCATACCTTGATCCATGGCCACAGTATGACCTTGGCGGTTATGTTTAGTGTTAACTTTTGTTGTCCTTACTTGACTTTAGATAAATGAATAAATATGACAAGTGTCAACCATCGATAGATAAACTCATTATTTATTTATAAGGTTGCTATGCCTGACAACGGTGTAGGCCACAGTTAGGCCGTTTCGTATGGAGTTTGATAAACTGGAATAAGTTAATTGCGGATTGTTTTGCCTCCAAACATTGTCTAACACGCGGTTTCACATTATTTAAGCATCATACAGTCTGCAACTGCATTAGATCGTTTTTTCTTAACGAGGCTTCCAGCTGTTTAATCTCATTTCAAAGGTAAGGAGGAAACGTAATTATATCTTACCAGTAGATTGTCTGGACAAGATATTAAACTTTCATCGTCGGCCATGCAAAAGGTAAAATATCCTTATTGGTGGTCTAAGACAATAAATCCATTTTTATCCATTCTAGCCTCAGTTTTGAGAAAGCAATCATGCTGTATTTGACAATCAGCTCCTGTCTGTTCGCTGTGACATGATTTCTTATGTCAAGTGAAATTATATTTTACAGCTAGTTTCAAAAGTGATCAAAGTTCTTTCCTTTTTTATGTTTGTAAGGTTGGGTAAGTTCATTTAGCTATCAAACAATTTCTTTCTGTGAACTGATGTCTGTGCAAACTCCCATTAGATATATATATATATATATATATATATTTATAAATATAATTTATAAATATGATATAATATTTTTTTCTCAAACTCTTTGTTATGTATATTTCGCTCTACATGCAAATGAATTGAGCACTGTGCTACGGAAATATCAACAGACAAATTTCTTATTTATAAATATATGCAAGTTATATTTTTAGTTTGTAGTTTGTAATGGATCTTTACAGGCCTGTTTTGTGAGTAACTCACTCTTTAGGATATGAGCTTTTTTCTTTATGGGGATAGCAGTTAAATATTGAAGAGGCAGCAAAATTTGTCTTGGTTTTGTTGGGAATGGGGGTGTTATGCCAAAGCGTGAGCTTAAGACCGACATGGGGCAAAAAATTAGCTTGCAAGGGAGGTGAGGAAATGGTAAATGCCTGGGTCATTCGATTTTTTTATAAAGGAAATAATCCTTGTCTATAAATATATCACTGTGCTGGTGGTCATTGGCCTTGTTAGAAGGGGTGTATATATGCTATATTGGGTGTGATTGATGAATTTAAGGGTAGCCATTTTAATTATAAAGTCAACTAAGGTTGAGCTTCATCCCATATATAGATTCAATTTGTTGAACTCTTGCTTTCCTTTGCATTTCAGCCCATGATGAGTTAAAACCAATTCTTTTTAAGTCTAAATGCATTACCCATATCTCTTTGTTCAATTAAAGAATCCTACAATGTTTCCCAAAGTTGCCCAGAATGCCCTAGGTTGAAAATATTTTCTTTCACTTTTATGTTTCACCATTTGTTAAGAAGGACCTTGAACATGCCTAAATTGTGATTATCTCAAGTGTGATTGTACCTCAAGAAAATGATGTTGTAGTGGTCAAGGTGACAACACATCCATCCCTTTGTGCCTCTGAATACCAATGAAACTCTTGTGACAAATTATTCAAAGATATTTACATGCAAGCCTAAATTGGCCCATTTATCTACTACAATAGTAAAATATTAAAAACTAAGAAAACTGACTGTTAAAGATCACAATATTTGTAGAGTCTTTTTTATTCTTCTAGAGCTCACCCTTTCCATTTCTCTTTGCCAAATTCACAACCCCTATCCCACAACTCATCCTTCCTCCCCATCTAGTAAACTCTGGAATGCTCTACCCTCTTCCTGCTTTCCAAAATCTTACAAACTTTCTGTATTCAATACTAAAACAAACAAGCTTGAACTCTCCTCCCCCTCTTCTGAATTCCTCCCTCCTGTCTTTGCTATAGGCTGGGCCTTCCCCTGCTATCACCCACTATAAAAATGGGAATCATGATTATGTCCCAATAACTCTTGCATGTCTGCCACAGTTTTCCCACAAGTCTATGGGGGTGTAGGAGGATGTGACCCCAAAAATAATTAATTGCCTGCATTTAGCATAATTTTCTGCTTACTGAATTACTGCTTACTCATTTGGCCATTGGAAAACCTGTACCCTTATTAGAACATTCACCCTTATTTGAACAAGCATTTTTATTTCTAAAGATAAGGATAGATTGATGCAGTTTTTTTACCTACAATCACTCAGCCAAATGTGTAAGGGAGACAGAAGAATAGTCTGAGATGCATAAAAAATATGTGAAAGTTTTAACATGTTAGATGAATATAGATGCCTAGTAAAGCTTTGATAGCTGTGTACTATGCATGTTGTTGTGAATTTCAGTCTGTCAAGGAACTTTAAAAAACTTGTTTTTTTGTAAAAACATGGTAATAACATGGGAATAATAATTGACGAAGATATGACATGGAAAAATATCATATAATTATAGAGTTATCTTTTCAAAGATGTAAGCTTATTTCTATATTTGTCTGTAATTTTGAGCTCTCGTTGAAAAGTCAGTGCTCATTCAAGAAGTACTCTGCAAGTTTTATGGCATTTATGAGAAGAGAAAAATAGACAAGGTCTAATGAGGAAAAATGATAATTTTCATGCTTTTTGTGAAGCTATGGAACTTTCAGCTCATACTGATTGAACAAATGTGATTTATGAAAATCTTTTTAAACTATCTCTTGATAATTTCCCATGATTCATTAGAGTAAAAGTTTTTTGATTTCCCAAATCCTACTGCTTTGGCTAATGTCAGCATCTTTTGGTCTTTCAAGGTTGGCATGTATCAGTTTGTTTTTATTAATTAAAACAAAAGGTATTATTGATGACTTTTTGTTTTGTTTAAAATATGATGTTATATCTTTGAATATACGTAAGCAGATTGCCTTTTGATTGACAAATATATTACAGTAACATCCCATAACTAACATTGCAAGATATGGATTTTCAAAAAGTTATAACAATCAGTATTTCTCATCTTTGATTATGTTCCCTTTGATTTCTGTTCTGATTAAATCTTTAACTACAATTGAGAAACACAATCATTTCTTGAAACATCATCTTCTCACAACACCCTATAAATTTTGGTTATCTCTGCTGCTTCAATCTCCACAAAGTCTTGTAATTGTGTGTGACAGTCAAATACAACTTAAAGCCAGTTTAGCAGTTCAAGAAAAATTATAATTTTATTTGTTCTGAAAGGCAATCTTTTCCAAAAATGATTATGTGCTAATCTATGGATGTCAGTTTACGAAAGGATCTTTGACACTTGAAACCTAATTTTCTGCTCATTACATTATTCTTTTGATGCTATGCCACTTCATTTCAGTTTAATTTCCAATGTAAATGTCTAACACACATACTTTTAACTTCTATTGAACAGTAAGTATTTTAAAATCATCAGTAGAAGGCCAAGTTTTCTTCTGTATTATTGCTGTTTCCCCATTCTTTCAAAACACTAGTTTTTTTTTCTTTTCATCTATGGAGATAAAAAATATCATCTGGTTATGTTCGGCCTTCATGTTTCCAGTTGTACAAGGAAAGCCTTTTTTCAGATCAGCTATCTTTGCTTGCATAATAGCAAGACTTTCCTTGATTATTGACCTTAAAGGATAATGAGCTTGACATCAATTGCAGAGTCCAGAAAAGTTGTCAATCTTTTTCCTGCTGAGAAAATCTTACTATAAAACCTTCCTCACTTTTAATGGGCTTAAATTGGGTGTGGTCAAGAAATTAGGTTACTCAACTAGTCTTGGTTTCCTCTCCTTGCAACTCTTCTTTTTCCAAAACATTTTTTAGAAATTCGTAGTTTGTTTTCAGTTATAGATTTTTTTGAGGCAGATTTAAAAAGTATTTGCTTATATCAATCAATAACAAAAGCGTGTCATAATTTGAATAAACTATTTAATAACTTAAATTTTAAGGTAATACCTAAATTTTACAGAGCAAAGCAGTTCTGCCAACACATTCATATGTAAATAACAGAAGGTTTATAAATGTTATTTTGATTTTGCCAACTTTG